CACGTGGGTTCAGGGGCCCAAGGACTTGGGCCATCTTCTACTGCTTTCCCAGGCCACAGCAGAGAGCTGGATCAGAAGTGGAGTAGCTGGGTCTCGAACTGGTGCCCATATGGGATGCCAGCACTGCAAGCAGTAGCTTTACCCACTATGCCGCAGTGCCAGCCCCTCCCTCCCCCAAATTTTCGACCCTCAGTTTGTTGGATCTGCTGAATGCTCCCAGTGCATTACTGCCTTAGGGCATTTGCGGCCAGTCAGTCCTTGTGACTGGAACATTCTTTGCCCAATCTTTGAGAACCAGGCAGGTTATCTCTCATTCAGGCCTAGGTTAAATGTTAGCTCTTCAGAGCCCTTCTCTGGTTTCTCCCACCTCCAATCTAAAGTCAGTCACATACCCTGTTTTAGTTTATTTAGATCATTAGTCACTCTTCCCTTGTATTTTATCATGTCTCTTACTAACATATTACATGCACGTTGAGAAATACCTTGTGTGTTTCACTTGTCTGCACAGTATAGCAGGCTACCTGTTACATACAAGGTGCTCAATAATGTGTTGCATGAATGATCAAAGGTTTTCTCCAGTCTTTCCAAAGCTCACTCTGTTCATTACCATTGAACATAGAGTTTCCTTGTGGTTTGTCCAGCAGCCTAGTTCCACACTTTGCCTTTTTGGTTTCTTTAAGATTTGTTTGCTTGAAAGGCAGACAGATCTTTATCTGCTGGTTCACTCCCCAAATTCCTGCAACATCCAGGGCTGAGCCAGACCAGAGCCAGGAGCCAAGAACTCCATCCTCTTCTCTCACATGGGGGGCCGTGTCCCAAGTGCTTGGACTATCTTCTGCTGCACTCCCAGGTGCATTAGGAGGAAACTAGATCAGAAACAGAGCAGCTGGAAGGCCAACTGGAATTCCCATGTGGGATGCCGCAGCCTACCCTGCTGCACCACAGTGCCCGCCACGATGCTGTCCCTGTCGTAGTTACCAGCTCCTGTGTTCTGCTTGGCCCAGAATGCTTATTGTAGCCATTTGAGCAATGAACAAGCAGATGGAAGATCTCTGATTTGCAAACTCTGCCTTTCAAATAAATACAATAAATCTTAAAAAACATTCTGGCATACTCTGGTAACTGAGAGTGAAGAAAGTAAAAGGTAGAGGCCTTTCAGTTCTGTTTCATTGGTAAGCCAGTGTATAATCAATACTGTTTCATAACACAAGTATAGGCCCCTTGATGGTGGAAATCCGTTGTCCTGTTAACCAGCCCTCCCCTCGCCCCCTGGACATGTGGCCTCTTCTACCCAAGGCTGCCAGGATTTGTTCTTTCGTTATGTATTCTCAGAGCATCAGCCACACGCCAGACACTGTGGGGCACTAAATACAGCAGAACAGAAGACCAAGTTCTTATTCTCACAGATGTGCGTTCTGGTGGAGAGGATAGAACACAAGCAGAGATTTCCGAGTGATTAATGGAGTGAAGCAAATACAGCAGGGTAACGTGATAGAGGATGGTTTTGGACCATCTTAGATGGTCCCTCCCAGAGGAGAGGACGTTTGAATTGAGCCTTGGACAAAAAAGGAACCATAGCAAGAACAGGGAGAGAGCATTCCAGGCAGCAGAGGACAAAAAGAAAAGCCCCGGAGTGGGAATACATTTAGTGTGTTGCATTGAAATAAGGCCAGCCGGGCTGGAGGGATGTGCTCTGATTTGTATTTTAAGTCTTCCCTGCTTTTAGGCCCCTAAAGCTCAGACTTTTGGCATCAGTGACTCTTAAAGGTGATCTGTTCTGGTAGTGTCTCCTCTTCTGTGTCTTTAGGAAAAGCCCGGGGCCCAGCACTGTGGTGCCAGCATCCCACATGGGCACCAGTTCAGGTCCCAGCTACTCTGCTTCCTATTCAGCTCCCTGCTAATGCACCTGGGAAAAGCAGTTGAAGATGACCCAAGTGCCTGGGCCTCTATATCTGTGTGTGAGACCCAGAAACAGCTCCTGGCTTTGCATCGGTTCATCTCTAGCCACTGATAGTTGACAGTGATGGCCTGTGATGAAAAAACTCGAAGTAGCAATCACCTGGGGTACAAGAACAGAGTTGTTGGGGGATGACAAGGCTGTTCTACTGTAGCTGCTTAGATAAAATCTGTGTGGAGCAAAGGGAAGTCTTTGGATTCCTCAGTAAGTTTATCAAGAGACATACCATGTGACCTCCCAATTCCACTCCTAGTATGTACCCAAAAGAATTTAATACAGAGGTTCAAACAAAAACATGAATGTTCACAACAGCATTACTCAAAATAGCTAAAAAGAAGAAACAGCCAAATCACCATCAGTCAACAAATGGGTAACGAAATGTGGTCTATCCATACAGTGGAATATTTATTTGGCCATGAAAGGGAATGAAGTATTTCTTCTTCTTTAAAAAATCTTTATTTGAGGCCGGCGCCGCGACTCAATAGGCTAATCCTCCG